GAAAAAGCAAAAGAAGGAGAAATAGCCAGAGTGTGAAAAGAATTATGAACAGACAAAAAAAAAAAAAAAACGTAGAAAAGAAGGACAGTGCTTGTGACCTACAGGATGCTATTCCTGAGGAACGCGATTTAACGCATGCTATCGAAGTTGGAAACGAGGATGTATCTGTAACTGACTTATGATGATTTTAGCTCGCTTTTAAAGTTTGAGTTCCGCATCAAATTCAAGAATTATTTCTATGATCGGAAGAAATTTCTGATTTTTGGGCTTCGTATAAGGTAAGTTCTGAAGGAAACATCCTCAATATATCTTCAGAACCAGTCGGATAAAACTGCGCACTCTACTAGGTTGTCCCTAGTTCTAATAAAGGTAATTCGAATGTAGATAGATTCAGGAATTGAGCAGAAATTAAAATTATCAACCCAGTGGTGCAGTCAGAAAGCAGTGGTGGGAGCCCAGAAGGCGCAAGAAGCGAAGTGCGCATACCAAATCAGTGTTTTTTTTTTCCCATCATTTATTATTCTTTTTCAGTTTTGTGTTCTTAGGTCCATATTTCATATTTTCCGGCTCGCAAATGTTTTTGTCACCACTTTGGATAATGTGCTTCTTCAAGCTGCACATTAAATTATTAAAATTTTCATCGTGAGCAATGGCGATTTTCGCATCCTCCGAATGCAGCAAGAAGGTGCGCCTATCCTTTTCACAGGTACACCCTTGAAGTGACCCCGTTTTGACTTTTTTTTCCACTACATTCATCAGTGAGCAGCTATCGTGCTGCTCCGAATTATTTGTTGTGCAGAATTTTTCGCCCGGGCTGTGCTGTTCATTCCGAGGGAGGCGCACCTAGGGCAACAGCACTGAGGCAACGCGTACACACGGACTAATGCAGCGGCATCTCAGTGGTCGGCTGGCTTCTAGCTTTGTGTAAGTAGATTCTTGCTTTATTGTGTTAGTGAACTGAAGAAAAATTCCCGAATTGATTCGGCAATGCAGCTTGCACGAGTCGTGCCCAGAGAATCAGGCCATTTAGATCTGAAACATTTACATCCGCGATTCTAGTACTAGAACACTGCAAAACCGCGAGCCAGTCCGTGACGGTCTTATTGATATTCTGAATGTACGCCAGGTAACTGGCATCATGCACAAAGTGTTGTTCTGAAGAAGTCAAAACAGGTCGAGTAACGCTTTCGAGTTACGTGCTTGACTCGCCTGCAGGGATGGGAGAGTGCACTGTCATAACTCACTCCCTCACAGTCTAAAGATGGTAACTGCTCGAAGACTTTCATACAGCACTTTGTTTACGATAGGCTCATAATTGGAGAACAATGGGAAGCTCGACGACCACAATGCGTCCTTATGGGGTTTCCAGTGCCATCCATCCCTTTGACTCTTTATGTAAATGTCCCATCGCTCTCCCAGGGACACTGTATAATCGGCGCACGTGTCTTGTCCCCCCTTTGTCTCTGTCATCCCATTCTTCCCGACACTTCGCAGCCACAAAATTTGCATTTTAGCATTGTCTTTGATTCACAGCTACTTCATATGCGCAATTAAAATGTGCAGCGAGAAAGTCTTGCTCCAGCACTCGATTTACGGCTCAGTTGCGCTCAAAACGTCAGCCACCCGCAAGCTGTGTAGGTCTATAAAGTATACAACGACGTGTGCACTGTAGGCCCAGCCAAAAAGTTTTCTCGTACTATTTTCATGGAGCGTTTCGACGCCGTTCTAATAAACTTTTTTTTAGCCGTTTTCGCCCCTTACACAGTGACCTGAATGCAAAGCACATCGCATTCAAGCTTATTTGTTTGCTTTTTATTACAGTTTGGTAACCAAATTGTTTTGACACCTTTTTCATCATTCAAATAAATTTTGGATCCTTTTGACCAAATTTTATGCCTCTATAACTCAAATTTTTACAATTCTTCTTCGACTATGAATGTTTTTGCATATAAACACTGGAAGTTTCAGAGCGCACGGATGACTCTGGGAGGCATGGATAGTGCTGTAGGATTTGTATCATAATGCAGCAGTTCTTCAACTTGCAGTTCTGATTTATTTCATTTCTTACAACTAGATAAGTTTAAATTCTGTTTGATTAATTAATGATGACGATATTTTGGTGTATTTATATGCCTAAAACAGCATGCTGCACGACCAAGTCAGCTTAGCTGCGTAAACTCGTAACTTTCTGACCATAGCAGTGTGCTTAAAAAAATAGCAACCGGACAGCAGCCGGTGCCCCTGTTGAATGCGCATGGCTACAACGATACAGTCTATTTTACGTGATTAACATGTTTTAAGAGTTTAGGTGTGAAAATGAGTCTATTGTATGCGTATCCTTCCACCAATAAAAATTATTTATTATGTCAGTGAGTTCGTCTGCAGCAAAGATGTGTTTGTTATTGCCATGACAGTAAAGATTGATGGGGATGAACTACACAGCGATTTTTGCGTTATTAAGAACTTTTCGTCAGTTATTTATAGCTCATTTACAATGAATTATTGTCATTTTTGTGGATAGTAAAACGACGAATGAAAGGGATACTTAAACGACTCTCATCTGCTTGCAAGTGTTGCGTCTTAGCTCTAAGGGTTTCAAGGGTCATTGAGTCAATGATATGTTTATGGTCGGCACTTCTTTTCTGCTCCGAGAGGATGGGAAGAGATTTAGGAGAGGAAGAGATTTTGGGCACGATACGGTTTTGGCTCGTTGGGATATCAGATTAATATGGATGATGTAATGTGCACCGGCATTCCTTTT